TAATAAACTGTTCTCTCCACTCTCAAAATAGTCTAGTAAGGATCCCAAATGATTAAGAGCAGCACCATGTGATATTTTCTTACTAGCAGCACTGTCCACCTCTTCCTCATTCTCACTTTCTTCCCGCTCTTCTGGCTGCACCCCCACTGCTTAATATTTCATTTTGAAATCCCAAAGTTCTGGTTGGCAAGCGTTTCCAACGACCTGTTTCATCAGCAATATAGATTTGTTCCGGCAGCAGATTTTCACTTTTCACAAAACTATCAAAATTGGTGCAAAATTGAACTGATGATGACAAGTCCCCTGACAATTTCTCACCTTGAATACTAATTTCTCATATTCCATGATGCTGCTTGACACGTGTTAGCCAACAGGAAGAAGTGTCGAAACTTCCTTACAGTTCAAGTGCTTCAGAAAAAATTTTGCTTGTTTAGCACAAACTCATCCTGTTATTGTTGTTCCCTGTGCCCTTAGTTGATTAAACCAGATCAGCATTGCTTTGTCGAGATCATCATATGTTCATTTTTTCATGGTTTTTCTCTTCTTCATTCAGCTTGAATTAGAAGACGAAGCAAAGGAAATTAATTGATTCTTTTGTTTTTTCAAATCACGAACAGTTTGTTCTCCAATACCATATTGCATTGCAGAGCTCGGTTCACACTAGTGCAAAAATAGTGTTACAACTCACCATGTGAAACAAAAGTGAATGAATATTAAACAACATATAAGCCTCAAAAAAGCCCCGGTTAAGGCACAAACTGGTTTATCCGCCTCCGGATAATTGAGAGTTGAGTGTATATTTCTGTGTATTTGCACCAATTTTTTCAGTTCATCTGAAGTCACTCACTCAATAAACGGAAAGCTTATCTACTCTTATGTCCATATACCTCTTTAACCCTTTACATGCAACTTCGAATACCGGGTACAACCGCTTAATTGAGGCGAAGTACTCTAGTCCTGATTTATTCCAATTAACTGGGATCCACTATATTTCTGCTTTCATCTTACATACAGATTGAAAATAAACCACTTAGTTCATAGTTATGCAGAAGGGTTCAGTTGATAAATTAAACTGTATCAACTGTTGACAGAAGTCAAAAAATATAGAAACCAAAATGTGCAACAGGACAAAATATTAATGGTGAGCATACAAAAGGTGCTTTGGGAAAATGGAGCAAACATAAAAAACCAAATCTAGACACTGTGAGTTGTCTGAGATACACCTGACATAAGATATGTTTTGGGAGCTGCCTCTACTCCCATCTTCAGGTGATTTGTTACCATTATACTCACAGACATGTTTTTCTTTCTTATTTCATTACTAGCTGTACCCGGCCACGCGTTGCTGTGGCTCAGTCTGGTGAAACAATTGATGGCATTTCAAAATGTGATTGTCTTCATTCTCTCAAATCATTAATCGGTATGAATAATAGTTCATTGCGCGGCATTTCATATTTGTTTCTTCGCCACTGACTGGATTTATCATCTTAACGTTGAAGTGCTATCCATCGGCACCATCCCAAAAAATGATTGGATATCGCAGGGCATCGTAGCATCGATGAGTTTCTGCAACTTTTGTCAATTGATCGTTTCTCTGATGAACAACAATATCTCTAGGTTGGAACTGATCTCTGACTATAACAATTGCCACTTTGTCTATAGTTGGAGCATTGAATCTTCGCACATGTTGTCCAGCAGGCGTTTTGTCAGCATTAATAATCTTGTGTGTATCAGATGGCATCATGTCAATTAATGTTTTGAACAAACACACTAAATTGTTTCTTCGTGAAGAAGCTTTTGCAGTTGGGAAACGATGGACCGTTTTATGCTGGTAAAATTCTGCAGCATGCATTCAATTCATCATTGCTATCGCCGATGAAATACATTTGTAGGAATTTGTTGACCATCTGGGAACGGAAGCAGGGAGCCGCCTTTATGACAAATTTGTCCTTTCACTTTGAAAGTTGGCATGAATGGAGCTGTTATGATTTCTGTGCCAAACGACGTCATTTGGAAGCATGAGTTGTATTTCCTGATGTTAGATAGGACATGCTTTGATTCGGCGGTATGTCCGGCAAGCAAAGTTTTTAATGGCTCTGGCAGTTCTCCAAGATGAGTTAGTTTAATTTTTCCTGCGGCGCAACACATTCCTTTCGTTTCTCCATTAAATTTCAGAGCTTTGCAATAAGGACACACTTCAGTCATAGTGCCGATGAGAACATGCCGGCTCAAACTATAATCTTCAGCTGGGCTGTACCGGAATGCAAGGCAACTGTAATCGCGTGATTGCTGAGCACGGAGTCGTGTTTGACGCCGATCTGCTGTTTCTTGTTGACGTCCTTCAGCCACTCTCATCCTGTCACGTTCATTCTGTTGAGAACGAAGCAGATCTGAAGCTGCAGAACGCGATCACCATGCTCCCAACCGTGCATCCTCAAGTCTGGCTGCACGTCACTCTGCTGCTTCCTCAGAACATATTTGAGCCATTCTTTGCCTGTTTCGCTCGTTCGCTGATGCCTGTTCTTCCCCAGTTTGATTTGCAATTACTCGTCACACTGCTTCCGCTCCACAAGTACAACGACCTAAGTTTGATCTTCTGCGAGGCATTATTTGGATGAACTAAAGCAGATCAATTGCACCGAAGTAGTAGAAAGAAAGTTATAACAAAAACGTATAAAATTGCAAAACATTAAAAAAGGAAAGAACACAAACTGGAAAACAAAGAAGAAACAAAAAAAAAAATACTAACGAAATATTTCAATTCAAATGCAGATCAATCGACACAGCTCAATTCCACTGCCAATTGCACTGAAAAGTAAGGAAAACAGTTAAGAAAACAAAATGAAAAACAATGAAAGAAGAAAAAAATAAACTACTCACGAAATGAATGCTGTGGTAAACGATACAGCTCAATTCCAATGCAATGTCACAAGAAATAATTAAATCAAAATGAATGAATTCAATCCCCCTTTTATGCCCCCGGCTGCTGCTATGCAAATGAACCTTTGTTATAACCATGGAAACGCTGCTTTGTTGATTCCATGATTCCTACGCAACGACCCACTGTTATTGCGTTGTCTCTGTGAGAACGCTCCGTGTATTCGTCGTAACCGTGGAGATTCGATGTTCTCGACACAACGGTTTTCTTTCTCTCCCATTTAACCAGACTGAGCCAAGCAACGTGTGGCCGGGTACAGCTAGTACATGCACGCATTCAAATGCAACGTTGTGTCAAAATTTCAAAGCAATCGGTGAAGAACTTTTGGGGATTTAAGATTTTGAACAAACGATCATTTACAGTTTTATTTATATAGATTGGTGGTGATGGTATATGAAATATACCACAGAAAATGAACAATGTCCAACATAATATTCATATTGTGACGTGGACGGCGCAACGTTCGGTGACCCCCCCCTCCCAGCGGTGATGTAACAGCATCAGAGCAACTGCCGCTGCTATGGTAACAGGCCAGTCAAAACTCCGTCCCCCTCCCCCATGGTGTTGTAACAGCACTTCCCACTGTGACATAACAGGGGACACCGCTGTTGACACGAGGCAACAGGGAACAGTATAAAAGGCCAGCTGAGTAGTGTGTGAGCAAGAGTGTGTGCTCAGGAGTGACACAGTGTGGATCGTGAAGTCACCGAGTGCAGTAGAAGTCTAGCAGTCACCAAGAGCAGTGGAGGTAATTGTGATACTGCCAATGGCAGTAATTGTGTAAAATTGTGAACTGTATAAGTGTAAGAACAAATGTGCAATAAATTCACTAGATCCAAGATGGCGTGAAGTTATTTGTCGCGTGACATATAGCCAACACGCAACAATATGTAGTGAATCAATCTCTGTCAACAAACTTTAGAGAAATGAAAGAATAATGTGATGCTCACCTTCACAGTGTTAATAAAGTCATGTGATAGAAACTAAAAGCTGAGTTCGGATTGATAACTGGATTTATTGAATGCCTGTAAGTCATAACTACAAATAACTATAATGGTCTCACTAATTTACACTCTACAGATCATTAGAACTACATCACACATAAAATCCAGTGTTTATTCACTAGTTGTTGCTAGGCAGTGGCTGCTAACAATGCAACTTAAAACGGTTAACTGGAGACTATGGCCTCTGACTGACTGTTGACTTAGTGGCTTCTCCAGTTGGACCGTACAGATAACGCCATATCCTCTACTGCTGCTGTGGAAACGTGCTTACGGCATTGCTGCCTATCAATGGCCACATCTATTTGTTCCATTATTCTAGCATTCAGCCATCATGTTACAATATCAACCTGTTAATGTTGATGTTATATTTTAGCGTCCTGTTGCACTGATTTAAGTCCATGATTTATTTAATCCGTCTTGCAGTGCATACACTCATTTATTTCCTTCTCTCCCTCGCACTACATGTTTCGGCATAATAATGCCATCTTCAGGTGCTTACTTATCCACGTCAAACCAGTTCATTGCATGCCATGTTCACACATTAAAATAACTAAAATATGTATCTATCATATACATTGTCAAACGTTAAAAATATTAAAATTGTTCAGGATACCACATCGCTACGTCGCCCCTCACTACGTCAGTCACGCCCATTCTCCTTTGTTGGAGCACTCCTTCACTATCTTGTGTGTTGTGCTTTTGTTGTGTCGTGCTCCTGCGACTGCGTGTGTTATACTGTTGGGCTTCCTGGGTATGTGTCTGGGTATGTATCCTGAACAATTTTAATATTTTTAACGTTTGACAATGTATATGATAGATACATATTTTAGTTATTTTAATGTGTGAACATGGCATGCAATGAACTGGTTTGACGTGGATAAGTAAGCACCTGAAGATGGCATTATTATGCCGAAACATGTAGTGCGAGGGAGAGAAGGAAATAAATGAGTGTATGCACTGCAAGACGGATTAAATAAATCATGGACTGTTAATGTTGTCTTAAGAACAGTTAATACATGGCAAATATAATGCATAAATAAACTCATTAAAAAAAATACCTTCACTTGTGGATTTTCCAGCAAGCCACTAGCAAGAACACCTATGAGAAGTCTACGTTTACGTAGTGCCTCTTCACGAGATGCCAGCAATTCTGCTGTGCTGACTGGTCGGCTGGGGTCTATAAAATCAGTTCTCTCAATGTCAAGTTCATTCTCCAGTTCAGCATCACTGTCAGTTTCAGTTTCCTCAGGTTTGGGAATAACTTCTTCTTTTGCTGGCTCTGGTTCTTCTTCTAGAAAATGTATTTCATTATTTTCCATGCAAAAATAGGTATGAATTTTGTATAACTTTCTAATGAGATTGCTTATTTGTACACATACTGATAATGAATGGTAAATATCTTAATTATAATAAATAATGGAAAGAATCTGTACAAAATGTCAAGTTTATTTGCATATTCTCTATATTTTGCAAAAAAAAAAAAAAGTGATTGGGGAACCTCGGTTCCCAGGATTAACGTTGAAAACGGTATTAAATTAGGATTCTTATTGGAATAAATGTACTTTGTACATTAAAATTGTAATTTTATTGAAACATTGATATATGTTCCAAAAGCGTTTAGTTTGTAGTTATGCCAATGAGTTGAGAAGCTTGGTGATTGATTGTGCTCAAGACAGGGCTATGACAGCTAAAGTACAAAACATAGTGGGAAGATCACACAACAGGATATCTTCCATAGTGCATTAAGTGGAGATATTGAATAAATGACCAATGAAGAGACCAAATGAAGGTAGATGTACACAATTCAGCAGGGAAAGAGTGGACCAGACACAAAGAAACTTATTACAGGGCAAATCAAAAGGTAGGAGTCACTGTCAAAAGAAGACCCAACCCTATCAAAAGATCATGACAAATACAATGAATACAATAATAATTTCACCTCATTTCTACAGTAATTAATTCAGTACAGTACAATCTCCATACCATTAAAATCCTCTGCAACAGAACGATAAACCAATCCTCCTTTTGTTTTTATTGGTAACAAATGTTTAATCCTCTTTGGTTCCAACTCAGGAACTCTTTCCTCATAATTCCCTTCCACATCCACTTCATCTTCTCCATCCTTGTCTCGCTTCCTTTTACGATCCTTTTGCTTGTTTCTGAAAGTAATAACGTATGAACACCACTGTCATTCCAAGAGAATTACCAGTTGATTTCCATTCAAGCCTTACACAAACAAGTACTGGCATTGCATAACCTCTGTAAATGATACAACATAAAAATAAGCAACCTAATGTGAAGTCTTGTTGCTGTTTCTCAACTGTCATTGTGTCTGCAAGACACAAAGGAAAACTGCATCACAGTCTTGCTGAAATGCAGCTTTATTGTGCCTCCAGACATGGTCAGCATTGACCTATCTGGCTATCACCTGCCTTGCCAAGGGTATAAAATCCATTTCTGATCTGGAGACAGCATCAGGGTGGATTCTGTAACACCAGTGACAGGTAGGTCTAGGGGTAACACAGACTTATATTTGGGAGGTGTTCAGTCCAAATCTCTGCTGGGATAATGGTTATACTCATTAAGGTTTTTCACGGTTTTCTTCAGTCCCTACAGGCAAATGCATGGTTCATACCTCAACTAGGCCATTACTGCATCCTTCAAAACTCCTGATTCATCATTCATCACTCACTGTATCGCCTGAAGCTATAATCTTAATAATGGCATGGTAGTTAAATAATAAAACTACAGAAAAGAGAGAATGCCAGTTGGCAGAGGTGACCCACAGTTTAACGTCAGACTGGAACCATGTTTTCAATGGACATCAGTAAACATTTACCAGACTGCACTGTGTCACATCTCAAATGACAGTAATCTTCATTTATTATATTTTATTAATTATAGAAATTGTGAAATTATATCTGGAAAATTTAATGCACCCTGTTATAGGTGCAATTATATGCAGAAATGGGCCACTGAATTACTTGTATGTAATCCTTAATGCATGGTTTGGAGACAATTGGATATCATATGTCATTGCAAGGGTTGAGAAGGCCCACCTATTATACATACATTCATTCATTCATTCATTCATTCATCATGTCATTATCTGAACTTCCTGCACTGTATTTTTATCTTCCGATCATTATCTGGAATTTTAATATTTTTTTACCATTTTAAGACAGCCTCATTACTGTCACCATAAAGTCTAATAAGTTTAGCAATGTTTCTGAGGAATGTTGGTAAACGTCTACGAGACTACATGGCATCGAATCCCTGAAAATAGTAACCATCACCGCCATGAGAACGCTAAATTTCAGTAACAATAATGTTTTACATAAGTTTGTAGGTATATTTCTGATCTACTTCTATATAAATTTTACACATCTAGATCCAACTGTTTATTATCTGTCACCAACCAACAGAAAGCTGAATACACACTCTGTTATGGTTCCCGTCTAGCTGTTGTACATACTAATAAAAATTACACAAACAAAAAGGGCATATCATCTAAATAAAACTATTACCATATTATAACATATTGTGACATGTTGCGCAAAGGAGAACCCCCCACCAGCAGTGACGCGGCGGGTGAGTCAGCACTCCCCTCCCCCTCCTCCGCACAGTAACGTAACGATGACGCAACAGGATTGTTACGGTAGTAACAGCAGTTACTACCGCTAGCGTTGCTAGCAACACAGTGCCAGGCAACAAGGGTGCTTATTACGTGGCCGTTTTCTGTATTGTCCGATCAAGGCTACATAAGGAGCAGCGAAGGCTATTCACAGTCAGTTGTACTGAGTCAGTCAGTCAGTCAGTCAGTCCTGGAGCTACCTATGAGTCAGTCCTGGAGCTACCTCCGAGTTAGTTCCAAGTTAGCCAGCAACCAGTCAGTTGTATTGTGGCATTTGGAGTGTACTATTTGTGATACTGCAGATAGCAGTAATCGTAAATCTGTAATTTGGGTGATTGTAAGTGCGAATGTGAAATAAAATTCGCTACATCAAATACGGTGTGAAGTTATTTGTCGCGATATACGCCCAATACGTGACAACTGGTGTCAGAAGTGGGATTTGAACTTACACACGTGACCGACGAGATTCGATCTCAAGACACGTGACAATTTGGTGTCAGAATTTTTACGAGCTTAAATACGCCTCAGAGAATTTTACTGCTACAAAATGGAGATGCAGCAGATGATGGAACTTCTCCTGAAAGAAATCAGAACCATTCACGAGAAGGAGGAGGCAAACAGGAAGAAAGACAAAGAAGAGATGGAGGAAAAGAGAAGGAAAGAGAAGGAAGAGATGGAGGAAAAGAGGAGGAAGGAGAAAGAAGAAATGGAGGCCAATAGGAGGAAAGACAAAGAGGATTTCCTGGCGAAATTAGACTCCTATCAAGAAAAGGCAGATAGCCTGCTGACAAAATTAGCCGCCGACTTCAATGCCTGGCAGGAAGAGACATTGGCCTGCCCAGTGGACACAATACCTGCGACGGCACAACAAGAAGAGGTTCCCATAGTGATACCGGTCGGAGTGACGATGGCCTGCCAAGAAAGGGAGGCACGTCCAGAAGAAGAAGAGCCGACTTCAGCGAACAGGAAACCTGAGGTGGCAGAACTACTAGAGGTACCCATACAAGACGCCGAAGTAATGCCGGTCGGAGAACCGAAGAAGAAAAGGCGCAGGGACCGACATCGACGAAATATAAAGAATTCGACGCGGGAAAACTGTGGACCAAGGATGAAGTTGGCTGCCCCCTGCAGGAAGACATCCCGTCGCGCGACAGTGGCACGACGTTGGAGAATTGCCTTCAAGACGGATATTCCCCTGGGAACCTTCGGATGCCAGCGGAAAGAAGTGACCGCCACCGGAATAAAGATTACACGCTGTGTAGGACACAGGCGTATGGGACAAATCAAGAATAAGGTCGCACCGGAAATCACCAAGAAACGGACGTTCGGGAAGAGACTGTGGAAAGGCCCGGAACGCCACACTGGCATCAGGAACCGAGGCCTGAGACAGCAACTACAACGCAGAAATGAAGTGAAGGACCTAGGCGGCGGACAGCCGCGATAT